ATAATCTGTGTAAGAATGTATACAAGCCATTGATTACAATTAATTTTAGAAAACTTTAAATAAATAAACGTTAAACTTAATTCAAAATTTCAGCAGAAATATATTATTTTATTCTGAGAAGTAATATTTTATTTCATGAATTGAATTCTGTTAGGTCAGTAATAGACCTGAGCTGGCAACTTTCTCTATAAACTGATCAAGGTCAATTTTATTGATATTTACTGACGCAAAAAAACCTTCACCTCGATTCGCTACACGTAATGAGTTCGTTAAACCACATTTTTCTTAAACACCTATCATCATCATCAACAATTATGGACCTAATTTAGTGAATAGTATATTAATGAAAATTAAAAGACATATAGTGAATATGCATTCATCATGTTGATAGAAATTTAAAATAACTGATAAGTGCCTACTTTGGTTTGACAAGGTTATAACTAGTCTAAATTTAATTTTAAAGATAATGTCCTAAGCACAGGCGGATTTACGTGGGGGGAGGGCTTTCGGGCTGAAGCCCCCCAAATGGTAAAATATAACCATGTTTTATTGAAAAAAGATATTAAAAACTATCTCTTACAGTATTATTGTTCGTGTGATTACATTTAATAGGACTTCAAGAATAAATAAGGCACCATGTCATATGAGTAGTTAATTTCTTTCTTTTTATTTTTTAAATTAATTATCATTATATATATATATATATATATATGAAAAAAATACTTCAGGCCCCCCCTCAAAATAGAATCCTTGATCTGCTAGTGGTCCTAAGTAAGGTTATTTTTGTTTCCCATAGTTTGTGAAATGCTTAAATGATTTCACAAATTATAGGAAACACAAATTTCTGAATCGGTTCATTTCGTAGGCTAGTGTTTTTGTTTCTTGTTTGTGCCCTTTTCAAGAGGAATTAAAGACAATTTGGGTAAGCTCTTGTGTTGCTTTTAGACATTTTTTTACTATTTTTTTGCTTGAGATACGTTGAATTTAATAATAGTCCGCAGCATAGACCTGGCATATATAACACCATTATTTTGGCATTTTGAGAAATTACCTATATAGATTGCCTTTACTCTACAACTCTTCCATTCCATGATGTAGGCTTATCATTATCTTTCTTGACAATGCCTTTAATGTATTGTCAAGTTAATTTTACTAATTTAGTTGGACTTAGCTATGTTTATGTCAATAAAACATTGAAATGTACGTATTCTTTAGTGTTTTTCTAAAATCTAAAGTAACATGTTTAATAAATAGCAATGGCCTAATAGGTATCTGCAAGATTCTTGCGTAAGACCAAGTCTCGACTTGTCTTGCATATGGGCAACACTAGCTGGAATGCTCTGTTTTGAGTTTTAACAGTTAATTTTGGCTTCTAACATACAAACTGAAAACGTTATTTAGAACATTACGTATTTGTCTTAAGCATGCAATAAAAATTGAACAAAAAATATACGCGGTTTATTACATCATAAATAATTTTGTGTTTAGTACTTTTGGAGTGTGGTTTTCGAAATACTATTTTTAAATTATAACGAATTTACCTCTACTTAATTTCAGCACGTGTTAAGAATAAAATATTAAAAAAACTAAAGAATGTTTTTTAGGTCACACGATAGAAGTGAAAACATCAACAAGGAGAGATTAATAATATAAAAAATAAATTATAAATAATTGTTAATTATAAAGAGCATGAAATGCTGAACAATTTCCTTGCTTACAGTATGCAGTTCCGATTTTTAATTTTTGAGATATTTTAATCCTCAATAAAACTCGTTATCATTTGGTTTTCGACACTATTTTTCCCTTTTCGCCTCTCTATCACGGCTAGTGTTGCCAAAATGCAAGACCAACGCAAGACTTGTCTAGTCTTGGTCTTGGTCTTGCAGCAAGAGTCTCGCAAGTCTTGCAGGTCTTGCAATTACCTATTAACCTATCCTTTGACCTAGATAAAGCAAAGTTCAACCAAATTTACTTGAAGATACATACTTTAAAGACATTGTCAAGATAGATAGTGATAGACCCTCCTCACCTTAGATGGACTGTAAGGGTTGTGGTATAAAGACATTAAATACATTAGCATTTATTAAAATAAAAAAAAAGAACACATATTTATTGATTAGAGTTTATTTAAACGAAAACAAAAATTTGGTTCGACCAGATGGTAACGTCTATCGGTCTATTGATAGTAAATAAACCAGTTTTTAAATAGTGACATATTTTTGTTTAACAAAAGTTTAAAAGACGATCCACCAGTAGAAACTAGCGATTGGTTTTTTTTTTCTTTCTTTTAAATGTGATTATCGATAAACAGACTTTTTTTTAAGTTAAAACTTCTTTAGTCGCATTATGCACTTTTTTGTTGAGAGTGAATTAGATTGAACCGTCAGATTTCCGATGTGTAACGCACGGGTAAAGTCTGTTGGAGTCGACTAATGGAAGTGTTTTTTCATATGGATTAAAATATTTCAAAAATTAAAAATCGGACCTGAACATTCTTAGCGAAGAAATTGCTCGTAATTTCATTTGATTTATAATTAATTAATTAATAATTAGCTATTATTAAAAATTATATCTTAACACGACACCGTGTTAGGGAGGCGGAAAGGAAAAATAGTGTCGAAAACCAAATGATAAAAGAGTTTTATTGAAGATGTGGATTAAAATATCTCAGAAACTAATAATCCGACTTGCATACTCCAAGTGAGAGAATTTTTCAGCATTTCATCCTCTCTGTAATGGAATATTATTTAAAATTGTATCTGAAACGTAACGCCGCGTTAGAAAGACGTAAAGAGAAAAAATAGTGCCTACAACTAAAAGGTAAAGAATTTTATTGAAGATATGGATTAAAATATCTGAGAAACTAAATATCGGACTTGCATACTGTAAGCGAGGGAAATTAGTGTTGTCCAAATGCGAGACCGAGACGAGTCTTGGTCTTGAAAACTCATTCTTGATCATGGTCTTGGTCTTACTCAAGAGTCTTGCAGTTACTTATTAGCTTACTGTAAATTTTTAGAAAGGAGAAACCTATCTAAGCCCGAATGAAAAATTAGAGGAGTTAAATGCAAAAGTATATCGGTTATACTAATTATTTAAATATGGTAACTAAGATTGTCAAGTATTATTAGTAACTATTTTGCCTTAATTTTTATTTAAAAAATCGATATTTTTACCAGTCTTGGTCTTGGTCTTGCAATAGTTAGGCGGTCTTGGGACTTCGCTAGACCAAGACCGATTTTGGATAACACTAAGAGAAATGTTCATACTGTAAGCGAGGGAAATGTTCAGCATTTCATCTTCATTATAATGACCTATTATTTATAATTTATGTTTTATATTATTACACTCGTCTTGTTGATGTTTTCACATTTACCATGTGGTCTAAAGCACACACCTTAGTGGTTTTTTTAATCAATTAAAGTTTCCTAAAGAAGTTAGATTTATAGATATTTACGATTATTGATAACATGTTTAGTTGAAGATATGGATTAAAATATCTCAGAAACTAAAAATCGGGCCTGCATACTGTTAGCGAGGAAATTGTTCAGCATTTCATAAACCGTAATGTGCCAGTATTCAAAATCGTATCTTAATGTAACGCTGAGTTAGGGAGGCGAAAAGGAAAAAAATAGTGTCGAAAAAACGAAATGATAATATGTTTAGTTGAAGATATGGATTGAAATATCTCAGAAACTAAAAATCGGACCTACATACTGTAAGCAAGAAAATTTTTCAGCATTTTATACACTCTGTAATGTGCCAGTATGGTACTTGAGTTGTTGTTGCCAGTATTTATGTACTTAACTCCTGACAAGACATTTAAGTAAATATAGAAGAACATTCCCTTAGGGTGAATTGAATTTCCCTATTTCTGTTGTTGGGTTTTTGAAGATAAAACTTCTTTAGGAGCCTTCTTCTGTGGAAAGTGAATTAGATTGAGCCATCAGTTCTCCGATGTGTAACGCTCGGGTAAAGCCGGCTGGAGTCGATTAATTGCAATGTTTTAAAAAAGCAGCCCTGCTTATTGTGAGTAAAAGAAATATTCAGCATTTCATCCTCTTTGTAATGAGCTATTATTTATAATTTATATTTCATATTATTAATTTGTTGATGTTTTCACTTTTACCATGTGGTCTAAAGCACACACCTTAGTGGTTTTTTTAATCAATTAAAGATTCCTAAAAAAGTTGGATTTATAGATATTTACGATTAATGTTAATGCGTTATCTCTTAAAGCTCCTTTAGATTTCTGTTTATTTATAATTTTCAATTCTAAACATTTTTTTTATGGTTGAACACACAGGCGGATCTACGGGCGAGGCTTTCGGGCTGAAGCCCTTCCCCTCCCCCCCCCCAAAAAAAATGGTAAAATATAACCATGTCTAATGGAAAAATATATTAAAAAATATTCTCTTAAAGTATTATTGTTCGTGTAATTACATTTAAAAGGACTTAAGGAATAACTTAAATACCATTCCATATAGATAGTTAGTTTCTTTCTTTTTTTCCAAAGTGATTACCGTCATTTTTATGAAAAAAAAAAAGCTTTCGGGCTGCAGCCCCTCCCCCCAAAATTAAATCCTGGATCCGCTAGTGGTTGAACTTGTTGTTGGAAGATTCAGGAATTCATCAGGGTAGGTTTTTTTTTTCTGTTACCACGTCAATTACTCTGGAAGAAAAAATAAACTGATGTTTAAGTAATCCTTGAAGGCTTGCTAAAAAAATAAAAAGTATACTTAAAAAAACGGTCATTTTTACTAATGAACAATAATGCTCTTGGGAGTTTTTATGTTCTAGACACGTGCTTCAAATGTAGTTCAAATCACTAACAGAAAATATGGACCGAACAACTTTAAATATCCTCTGGAAGATTCGCTAGTGAAAAAAAGAGTCAGAAATACTGATAACCTCATTTTAACCAAAGATATTAGTTACAACATTGTCAAACCAAGATTTTGGTTAATGCTTTAATTGGAAGATATTTTAATTTCATTTACCGTTATCTGTTGTTATTGATGTCTGGAAGCTTGTTTTTTAATATATTTTTTTTTCTCAATTCCTGTTGTTGTTCAGACAGGATGTGCAGCAAACATGGAAATAGTTACTTCGAAACGTGCAATGTCCATAAGTACCTACCAGCCGTGTTGTTAACTGCCGACGTACTCCAGTTCGTAAGACTATCACCACTAAACTGAGCCTTCCTACGACCTTTCTGTTCCCCCAACGAAAGCCTGTTCAACTGATCTCCCCTCCTCTCCCATCCGCCCTCTTCTGTTAGATGGCAAAACTATTCGCTAGTCGAGCAACCTGGATTTATTCTCTATAAGCGGAATTTCCTATAGTTTTCCTAGTTCAATAGATCTCCTTAAGAGCTTAAGAGATAAATCGTATTACTATTAATCTTTTTTATTATTATTACCCATTTATTAAAATTTACAACCGTATAAATAAATAAAATTAAATTTTTTATTTATTTTTTTTTTTTTTTGACATTACGGACCTTTTCTCGCCTCAAAAACCCTACTCCATTTCTGCCTATAATGTGCAGACTTTCAAGTCAAAAGTCGTAAGTAAAACTGAAATTGCGTATTGCCTGGGATGTTTCAGATTTTTTTTTTTTTTTTTGTAAAAATCGGCAAACCGTAAGTGGCACCACTTTATACTATCGATTTAACACATTTTACTAATGATGAAGAGAAGAACAGTTGGGGTGATCAGACAAATAAGAAGGCAAAAATAAATGATAATATTTATTTTGACGTTTGCCGACGTTTCGACCTGAAATTCAGGCCTCCATCAGGGCTGCCTCCAAAAAGGTTGTTGGAAGAAGTCTTGACTTCTCCAACAACCTTTTTAGATGCAGCCCTGATGAAGGCCTGAATTTCAGGTCGAAACGTCGGAGAAAGTCAAAATAAATATTATCATTTATTTCTACCTTCTTATTTGACTGATCACCTCAACTATTCTTCTCTTCATTATTCACGACAGTCAACCATTTGCCCACAATGAACAAATTTTACGATTTTCTAAAAAACCATTCTAACCATTTCGATTAAACTCGTTATACTAATGTACAATTAAGTATTTACTTTCGTCGTAAACCTATGACTTCCTGTCTTACAGTATCCTTTAATAATACCCCGCTTATCCCTGTTGAACAAATCCGGTATCTTGAACTCCACTTGGACATACGTCTAACTTGGAATCCTCATACAAGATTTAAACGACAAGAAACCGCTTGACGTATCCGACTACTCCAGCACATACTAGACAAACGCTCTAAGCTTCCAGTTAATTACAAAAGACTCATATACATGACTAGAATAAGACTTATCTGGACATACGGAGTTCAGATTTGGGAGTCCACAAAGCCATTGAATTCCTCCCGCATCCAATCCATACAATCCAAAATCCTTCCTAAAATCCTTAATGCTCCTTACTTTGTCACTAATAAAATCATCCATAATGTTCCTTATATTTCTGAATTGGCCCAATCCAGTTACCTATCCTTCCATAATAAACTTCAAAACCATCTGAACCCTCTCGTTTCTAATCTTGGTTCCTATTCAATCCTTGATAACCCTCCGAGGCGTCTGAAAATAAGATGGCCTCTTGATCTTCTATTGTAAATGTATTTTTTTTTTTTTAGAGTGCTGCCAGTGGGTAGTTTCTCAACAAGTGTTTTCATGTTTTTATTTTCTGTTATCACATTTACGCAATGTATTCTTTCTTAATACAGTTGTAAATATCATAAATTAAAAAAAGTATTTTGTAAAATAAGATAGGTTTTAACAGGACGTACAAGGTGCAAATGTCTCCTACAAGGTGCAAATGTCGATTTTTCAAAAATGTCTTCCTCTAAAGTATCTTTAATTTTGTTCGTTTTAAAAAATTAATCATTTCACAATGCAGATAATAAATAAAAGAAGTTAAATATAAACAGCAAAAAAAAATTATTATGATCTAACGAAGAGTCGAGAATTAACGAAGAAATTCGAGCGCGCCTTCAAGCTTGATAAACGGGTTCCAATTATATTATTTACTTATACACGTACGGTTTCCATATTTTATTGCTGATATTATTTAATATTTAATTGTATAGATTACAGTAATATAAAAAATAAAACTTGTACAGAGTTTAAACAAAAATTTTACTCACAATGAAATAAAAATAAATATTTGACCTCCTTACTGACACTCTTGTCGGACTAAAAATAATTCGAGGCACTTAATTATTTATTATAATTAAATAAATAATTCAAGTATACAGTTGTAAAAGAAAATAGTTATTGACGAGAATACATTTAATATATTAAACGAGAAAAACATATTGTAATTAATTGTTTTAAATAATGTATTGTACCATCTATGATTTTTTCTTTCAGTTCCTGTCAGCTAAATATTTTAATAATAGAATTACTTTTTTTCGGGCGATAATGACTTAGATGTTTTGAGCCTAAAACATCAAAAGATGAAAAGACCCATTTTTATTCAAAGTAGGGTGTTACGTGAAAGTTGTGTGATGAGCAAACCGCACGAGTTTTTCTAATCCTTCTTCCATCAGGTTTTTGAAGATTTATTTTTGAACATCTTGAGTGATTTTCTTCAGGAACAATAAAGTTGATAATAGTCCTGTAGTCTTTTATTTGTTTAAGCTGAGGCTCAACTGCAGGGACTGCTGTTGAGCCTTAGCGTGAGAGGTTAGAGAGGAAAAAATGGTAGATAAGCCTGGTAGAAAATATAGGCTAGTCAAATTAGACATGTTACCTCGCAAAAGGTAGGGTAATTCAAATTTCTTTTTTATATTGTTAGATATGGACTACGGAATGGGCAACATCCATTATCTGCCCAATACATAAGAAAGGAGATCAAACAGAATGCGCTAACTATCGAGGAATCTCACTCCTTTCGTGTGCTTATAAGCTGCTCTCTAACATTCTTTTTGAGAGGATCCTCCCGTATTCTGAAAAGGAACTGGGGAAATATCAGGCTGGATTTCGAAGAGGACGCTCAACGACTGATCAACTGTTCTCTCTGAGGATGATCCTAGAAAAGACTATGGAGCGTAAGGTAGTCACCCACCATTTATTCCTGGACTTTAAAGCAGCATACGACAGCGTTGATAGAACGCAACTATACTGTGCCTTGGAGGAGATAAGCATCCCTCAGAAGCTCGAACGCCTAATCAAGATGACACCATGGACAGCTCGAGATGAAGAATACACGTCGGTTCTGATGCCTCCGAAGAGTTTAAAGTGAGCAGTGGGGTTCGGCAAGGGGATGCCCTCGCCTGTCTATTGTTCAACTTGGCAGAGGAGAAAGCTGTAAGAGACTCCTGTATTCAGACCAGCGATATAATCTTCAATCGCCTAACACAGCTTCTAACACAGCTCATTATCATAGCAAAAGCTGATGATATTGACATAATAGGTAGGTCTGAACGGGCTCTCAGAGAAGCGTTTATAGGCCTTGAAGCAGCTGCAACACCACTTGGTCTAGAAGTCAACGAGAGGAAAACTAAGTATATGAGAGTTGGTGGTGAGGTGGATCTGAACACTCCATTTGAGGTAGGTTCTTTTAAGTTTGAGAGAGTGAAAAGTTTTATATACTTTGGGTCTGAAATTAATAGCAAAAATGACATGGCTCAAGAAATACAGAGAAGTATCACGGCTGCCAATAGATGTGTCTTTGGACTTGGCCGACACTTAAGAAGTAGGTACCTCTCAAAGAAGACCAAGCTGATCATATACAAGACCCTTGTACGGCCTGTTTTGACATATGGCTCAGAGGCTTGGACAATGACTAAAAACGATGAGATGAAGCTGAGTGTGTTTGAGCGAGGAGTCCTCAGAATGATTTATGGTCCAGTAAAGGAGGGTGATGTCTGGAGGAAAAGAAAAAATAGGGAGCTCAGTTCTCTTTATACAGACATTAGACGTAGTCACGTATATTAAACTGGCCAGACTAAGGTGGGCAGGGCATGTGGCCAGAATGAGTACCGTTGAGATACCCAAGAAAATAATGATGGAGGAGCTGCACCTCGCAAGACGGGTAGGAAGGCCGAGGACGAGGTGGTTGGACAACGTGGCTTATAATGCGAGAACCCTGCTTGGTGTACGGAACTGGAGAGCTGCAGCAGAAGACAGAGCCAACTGGCGGAGGCTCTTGGAGGAGGCCCAGTCTCGGTAACGGGATGTCGTGTCACATATGATGATGAAGATATGGACTGAATATAAAAAATCCAAGTTTCAGCTCTTGAAAGTCTTGTGGATTCTCTGCAGTGCTCCGAAATAGAAATTTTGAACTTTGTTTTGTTTACGGTAAATATCTCCTTTTTGGAACAATATAGATGAAAAATGGTTTTATTAAATCTTGAACAACTTTGAATCGTCTAATATTTTTGCACATAACATTTCTTTCTTAATCCAAGCAGAAGCGAACTGTCGAGCTTTTAAAATTTGGCCATTTCAATGTCTTCACTATAGTACTCTTTCAGTTTAGAACGGAATAATTCTGTAGCTTCATTTTGAATCTGGTCCAAGATAGGCGTCTAGAGTCATCTATGGTGCTATAATGATTGTTTTAATATTTGGTTGTATTAACGAAGAAATATTAATACCATAATTGAATTGTCAATTTTTTTAAACTTTAATCATTTTATAAGCTCGATTGTTCGCTTAATGTTTAGAAAAAAATTGAATATAATCTTTTTACTTTCACTTACGTATATATGTAATATATAGTAAGGGTAAGTACTGCGATCGAGAAAATTTTCGAATCTGAGTTTTCAACGGGAATAGACGTTTTGAGGTACCCTGAGTCGAAATGACCAAGTCCCGAAAAATGGTCTGTGTGGCTATGTGTTTGTATGTTAGCAGTCTAGCTCAAAAACGAAAAGTCCTACGAAACTGATATTACGTATTTAAGATAGGTATATGCCTTAGATGTGGCGGCAACTTTTTCCTTAAAATCGATTAATCGGAAGTGGCACTTTATATCAACGCTGAAACACATTTTCACAATTTTCTCAAAAACGGCTGTAACGATTTTGATTAAACTCGGTGTATCATTGTATAATGAAGTGGTCTTTAATATCAATTTCATTAAAAAAGAAAAACAAAATGATCTTTGGTTTATTGATAAATATTACAACTGGTCTCAATAAAGGACATTTATAATAGAGTTCTGAGAGCACATTCACA